TAAATAGTGATGTCTATTGGTGGTCTAAGGCCATAATAAAGTTATATTCTATTCTTCTATTGTTCATGATAAAATGTTAAGGGAATTAGTGAAGAATACAAGAGTAATCAAGAGCATCAAATGTGTAAAAGCTACATTTCTGTAGCGTCCGTAGTGTGGACCTTGGGTCATAAAATGAACATGAAACAAAGGCAAAAGACTGAAAGAAACTTGAAGGAAGGTAGAACAATGGCAGAGGAAACTGGAATAGCAAATATGAGGTCTGTGTGATAAATATTGGATAGTAGATTAATTATCCAACAGAGTGGATTGAAAGCTTCTCTCCATGATTAGTTTCCATCCATGACTTCTTGTCCTAAGCCAGTGATGGCTAAACTTTTTGTCAACACATGCCGAAGGTGCATGAGTGCCTGCATCCATAATGCAATGCATGCATGACCCCCCCCCTCGGTGCTCCCCCACCCCCTGTGCATGTACGCACGACCGACAGCTCGTGTGCTGGCAGAGATGGCTCTGTGTGCCACTTCTGGCATGTGCACCATAGGTTTGCCATCACAGCCCTAAGCTTTGCTTATGTTGGAACCACTTCACCTTAGTAAAAGTGAAGCTTTCATTTCATCAATGGAATCAAGGGTTTTTCTTTCCTAAGAATCCAAGTTGGGACACTGCTGGCTCATACTTAAGTGATTGTCCACTAGGACTCCAAGATCCCTCTCACAGTTATCTGTTGAGCCAGGTACCACCTAATGCTATACTTGTGTATTTGGTTTTTCTTGCTTAAATATACAACCTTACTTTTTTCACTGTTGAATTGCATTTTGTTAGCTGTTTGGTGGAAGGATAAAATGGAAGGGGCTGTGGATGAAGGAAAGGAGGAATGGTAAAGATGGTGTCTACAATGTATATGGAAAGAAAATAATATCTGCAAAAATGTAATCAAAGATAAAGATTAAGATTAGAAGATGCAGAGCAATTTCGGTAGAAATAAAAAAAATGTTTTAAATCTAGTTGAAGAAGAATAAACAAGGACCGTATAGCAGAATGAAAGGATTTACAAATAAGTCTTGAAATGGGATGAAACTGAAGTCAGGGAATGCTGAAAGCCAGAAGTGGAATTTCAGAGATTTGTAGGGAAATGATAGTAATCTGTTGAAGAGTGAAGTTGAAATGAATGCTATAAAAAGTTGATGAAAAGCAAGTCCAAGAAAAAAAACCTGATGAAAAGTTAAAAAAAAAAAAAGAATTGGAAATTGTAAGGCTGAAGATGATGTAACGGAAAAAAAATTAAAATATGGATGTGATTTGGGGGTTTTGCACTGTGTCCCTCATATGCTTAAATAAGAATGTTGAGACTAAGTCTTTTGAGGTTTTTTTTTTTTTAAGTGTTGCATTTATGTTTCCAAGAATTGTGATTTCCTGTTATCCAAACAATAGTCTATATCCAGGTATTCTAGTCTTTTTCCCCAAGGATCTTGCCATTACCCAAAATATATTTCTGGAAATGCGTCTGTTACAGTTCAAATGTTCAAATAAGATACTCAAAGCCACAAACATAGATATCTATTCACAGAACAACTCTTCAAAAAGAATTGTTGTATTTCTGATTTTTCCTGTCTCTTACAGAATTCCTTTAGGACAAATGATCTTTTTTTTGGTTGTTTTAAAACATGTCAGCCACTTACTAAAATAATCCCTAACAGATATACAGAATAAAAACTGGTGAAGTATGAAATATAATTATGCAATTAACAATAATACTTATAAAAATATCCGTGTAGTAAATATTGTTCAGATGAAGATATCCCCTGAAGAATTAAAGTTTGCTTGGGGATCTGGATTTATTAGTAGAAATTTAGAATATAGAACACAGAATAATAAGGTTAAAAGGGACTTTGGAGCACTTCTAATCCAACTCCCTGTTCAAGAAACCATATACCACTCTAGACAAATGGTTTTCCAATCCAATCAGGACCAAATCTGACAGTGCCAATCATTAACGATATGACATTTACATCATTTTGAGCTATGTTTCTGAAACAAACATAGACCTAGAAGTCCTAGATTTCAGAATTGAAATAACTTGCAGGTAGTTTTAAGTATTTCTTTTTCCTGAAAAGTGTTAACTTCCATGGGTAACCTTTAATTCAAAAATGGTCCTCAGTATAAAATCATGGTATATCAAGTAGATTGTTTCATGAGATTATTAACTTTACTGTACTTATTTCCACCAAAGAGAATGAATGCCATTTCACCGGCTCTGCTTAAAGACTAGCTCTGTACAGTATAACCCTACTATCCATCAGATTATAGACATTATTGGCTAGTATGTAACTTTAAAAAATTGAGTCAGAACAGATTTTTCCTCTTCCTTTTCCTTTACTCTCACTTTTGTCTTCCAAATGTAAGTCTATGAGCAAAGATGGTGTTTCCTTCTAGTTATTACATATAAAGCTAATTTGGAAGTGTTTTTCCAGCTTCAATCAAACAATCCATCCAGTAGTTATTCATTCTTTTAATTAGAGCACTAAAATGAATTTTATAGATGATTTACAAAACCTAGGCATATACTTCTATCTGTGCAGATGCATCACAGCAGTATGATTCCATTGCTGGAGAAGCAGAAATCTAAAACTGAACAACCCGCCTTTCGAGAAAACTGGGAAACAAGAAAGGCATAATAATCCCTGCACAAGGATTTAAAGACACGCAAATGTTTTCTCTGATTTCATCCCAACCTCTTTGTACCTTGTGCCTTCAATCCGAAGCCCAGATCCAGGGAGACAATCAGCTGGTTTTGGTCAAGCACTACAAAAGGCTGAGAGCTCTCAAATCCTGTTGGGGCAAGTTGTCATTTTGGCAGGTCTCTGGTTCTCTTGGCTCAAATCTTTTGGCTTCGTGCTGCTGTCCACTTTTGAAAAACTTTCTGACATCTTGAAAAGATCAGCCCACTGTCTTCGGTTTATAGTGTATTTCAAAAAACTGGTTCCTCAACTGTACAAAAGTAAAGCTTAGCTTTCAAAACTGAAAGTAGGGATTTGTATGTTTGCCCGAATAGTCTTAATTTCCTACAGACATCTGGGCTTTCTCTTTCTCCAGATTTGCTTTTCTCTTAAAACTGTATTAGGGGCCTTTAATTGACCGCCAGAGAAGACTTCCATGAAACCATTTCTGAGGAAGAGTGCTAAGCAGGTACCACTTGCTGAGTTGATTCCAAATCCTTCTGTACATAAGACACAAGCCTACATTTGTTTCCATACAGTGAGTATCTTTGTGTGTCATAAAACTCCACCCCACCCTTCTACCCTCACTCTATTCTTCTAAGTTAGCAATATCACCGCAACTTACATGTAATTGTTTGTTCAGAGTATGGATTTTGCAGTATGTAATAATGAGAATTGAGCATCCCATAAAATTCTCTTAGAACTGGAATGAAGGGATTTGCAGCATTTCCTTCACGTTAAAGTTTTACTTTCAAAACAACTTTCCCAGGCGTTGAATGAAAAATCAAGTGGCCTCCTAAGATGGCCATGAATAAATTCAGAGCCAAAAATTTACCTCAGGTGCAGAGAATTTCTCTGTAAGTGGGGAATTTCTCTGTATTTCTCCAAAAATAGGGGCAAAGTTCTCAATGGCAGGACTGCCCCTAAAAAGAAGACACATTACTTAAAAAAAATGTTCAATGGCAGAAATTTCTCTGGTGGAAATGAATTAAAATACTGAAACCAAGAAGACTGGAGACTACAATGACAGGCAGGAGAATGCACCCCAACCTCTGGCCGCCTTGTAACAAAAGAAAGAACGCCTCATATGAGCATTTCTTTGAAATTCTTTTCTGCTTTGAAAGTTTTTCAAAAGAAATTTTCTTTTCATCAAGTGAATGATGTATAATCCCTGCCAGGAAGCTGGAAAGGTAAAGTTTAACACATGTATGTTTTTGCTGGGGCAACAGCAATATGGAATAATATTGCTATTGCCTTCTTCAGGGAATTTTTTTTTAAACTTCCCAGTTACTAACTAGATTTAGCTTTTCCCAATCTGCCAAGATCAGCCAGAACTTGTCAGCTAACTCTCTCCAAATACATACACAATTGCCCTATAGTTTCTCGTGCTAACCCAAAACTGTAAGAATAACTTGAGGAACAGGACAAAGAGCTGCAACCAAGACAAGAGTCAGATAAAAGAAATTTGAGTCCAAAGCAGAAATACAATTTGAGAAAACGTTTCAGATTTCTTAAAGATAAAAGCAGGAAGTGCTCATTCAGACTTCCAAGATTCTGTTACTAATTTTTGTTTGTTTGTTTTTATGCCTTTCTTGAGTCTTAAGCAAGACCCTGCAATTTTCTTGGCAATGTTTCAGAAGCTGTTTGCCATTTCCTCCCTCTTAGAGCTGAATGAGAATGACTGGCCCAAAGTTCCTGGGATGGTTTTGTGCCTAAAGCAGGACTAGACCTCATTGTCTCCTGGTTTCTAACCTGGTTCTTCAATCACTATGTGAAACTGTACAAAAAAACTAGTAGTAGTGTTCATAATGTTGGTTTCTTATCTAGACAGGTCCACCTGGAAGGGCTGAGAAATGCCAGTAGCATTGTACAAGGTCAAGGGAGCAATTGGTGAAAGCAACATTGCACCATTTTGATGTTCCCTTTGTACTTAAGATATGGTGATGTGTTCATATATGAATGGAGCAAAGCTTGTGCATTGGATCTTACAGGTCCTTTTGTCCCACATTGTTCATCAGGGCTTCCTGATTCTCTGGATATGCTTGGGAAGGTGCAATGGAGAGATGGAGGAAATATGCATAAGAAGAATCTTGATGAGACAAGAATCTTAGAATTATCTTAGAAAAAAGAAACAATTTCGTAGAGTATAATGGTGAGAATCCAGACAAGTTAGAAGAGGTCATGTCCGCAGATAAGTGGATAGTAGCATTGGTGACCACAGCTATGCAGTGCTTCAGTTCTGAAGACAAAAAGAAGCACATGGCTACTCATGTAACACCTAGTCTACAGCTCCTTAAAGCAGCTGCATCTTTTCCTGGGATCATGCAGCTCTCTTCCATAGCTATGCATAATCTTAGGAAAATATTGCTTTGGTTTAAGGGGGTGCAGACAGGAGCACACTTGCACACGCCAAAGGTTTTTTTTTTATTTTGCCTTTGAACCTGAAATGGAGCATCGCCCTGTTGACTGTCCCAAGTAGTAAGAGTTATGGGTAGGCTTTAAAAGGGAAAGAATGGACATTGGGACAATTGGAAGAGTTGAGATGTTAAGTGGATGTGGGGTGGGTAGGTTTAGGAATTTAGGAACTGGACCTTTGAGGTTTGGGGTGTAAATTGGCCCAGAGGGTAGCAGATTTGAAATCATGGAGCAGGCTTGGAGGAAAAAGTAAGCGACTGAAGGAGAAGGGGAGAGAAATCTCAACTGGTGTCAGGCTGCCATTGCAAGGTATAATTGAAATCTGGAAGAAGCTGTTCCCCAGCTAAGGTTCCTGAGCATGTTGGAGCTATTGGAAGAGTGGACTCACAGTAATTGTGTCAGCTTCATTGGAGTCATGGCTGCTGGAAACTTCTGGAAAAATGTGGCACCATCATTTGAAGCAGAATGTCCAACATGTCTGAATCAGAGCTAGAAGACAAGTCAGGGTGGAGATTTGTGGAGGTACGAGTCCTTGGACAAGGTCCTTCACTGAAGCCACCATCCCCTGTAAGATCAATCAAGGGAGTGAGGAAATCAACAAAATACACTGTAATCACCAGGACTATGGCAGCAGTCTTTGGACTAAAATTGGTGGAAATTGGGATAGCAATGCTAATTTCAGGTTTTGTTTTCCGGGATCTACAGAAGACAGGGGGAGAACTAGGGCTGGAGGCAGCTGATACCTTTCAGGAAAGAGTATGGAAGTGTGTCACCTTGAATTGACCAAGCACCCTCCAGATGCTTAGAGGATTGTAATGCTATTTGCATATTCTGGAACTTGTTATCTACCCAACCAGCAAACACCCAGGATGGAGAAAGCTGAATTCATTAGAGCTAGGTTGTATTCCATTAAACTACATAATGTTTGTTCTTTGTTCTTCTTACTAGTATGCTAATTTATTTTCAGGAGGGCCAAATACAAACATTCCTATTATTAATTAGTATAGACTTTATTTCATTATTAAAGTCAGATCTTTGTTATAATGTTTCTAATTATCTCTGCCCCATCTTCTAAATACCTTCCAGGCCTTCTCCCACACCCCAAATTAGCTCACCTTCAAATTCTACCTTCTGGCAAAACCTGGTGTGTTTAGAGGTGAGTTGCAAGTGAAACTGAGCCAACTTATAATTTATATTTCAGCTTATTGTTTGGAAATCTAAAATGAACAACTTCAAAGTTTTCATCAGTGAAACTTTAATCTGAAACCAGGCAAAACCCAGACATTTTGGCTGACTTTTCTGATCAAGATTTGTTTGAAAGGCAAAATGTAAAGAAATGTTTGGAGGGAAGAGCTTCAGAACTGAAAACTATAAAAATATGGCAAAGATTTCTCAGTTAATCCATGTCTCTATATTTCATGTAGTAAATTATATTCAATTTTATTTATCCCATATGACTATATGTTTGATCAGCTCTACTGACTTTTGCTTTATTAGATGCATTAGATTTCAACTCCAATAATCTCCATCAAAAGGCTATGTTGGTTGGGAATTATGAGCTCTGGAATGCAGCATAGTGGAAAGAAATAGAGTAGAGAAAGCTATTTTAGGACAGCAAATCCTAAGCACGTATACAATTTGTGCTTAGAAATATAACTAGATATATTTCATTTATACTTTAAAAGGATATCCATCCACTTTAAATGCAAGAATATTGTCTATAACCTCACCACTGTGGTGCAATGAATATTGTTATGGATCCAGGAATATGAAGTACTAGAATCAGAAGGTTGAATTAATCAGATCTTGGTCAAATTCAGCAACAACTATATACTTAAATTTTAATCATATGCACCAGAGGTGGTATTCAGCAGGTTCTGACTGGTTCTGGAGAACTGGTAGCGGAAATTTTGAGTAGTTTGGAGAACCGGCAAATACCACCTCTGATTGGCTCCGCCCCCATCTATTCTCTGCCTCCCGAGTCCCAGCTGATCAACTGGGTCTTCTTTTGTTGCCCTGCACAGGAGAACGGAGCTGGAAAGCAGGTTAGTGGGGTGGGGAGGGAATGGGGATTTTACAGTATCCTTCCCCTGCCACTGCCCACCAAGCTATGCCCACAGAACTGGTAGTAAAAAAAAATTGAATCCCACCACTGATATATACACTCCAGTTTGAATTTGGCATCATTAAACCTTGCCTATCAGTAATAATGTGTAGAGGTGTGATAAATGGGTAAAATATTGGTAAATATAAGTAGTATTCTCACATTATTATTATATACCGATGGCACAATTAAAGACATCATGTTTTTTATAACACCTCTTTTGTAAAAGATGGTTCGGACCACAATTCAGCCCTTTTGTGGTTCAGGTTTTTATCTGGATGAGTTGCAGAGCTGTTGGGTTTAATTTGAAGTCAGTAGGGTTCCTTCTGGGACTATGTAGAAAGTTTATGATTTTGCTAGTTTTGAGGTAATTGTACTGCACAGAGCATCAACATGATTGAGGCTCTTTCAATCTCTTTGAAAACTACTTAGCCTCCTAGCTCCCACTTCACCGGTCTGTCAATGATTTTGCTACAATTGGGCAGGAACTGACAACTGCACTCTTGTTTGGGATAGAATAGGAGTAGAATAACTATTTTTAATAGATTGTGTTTTTTCTTTAAGTACTCTGGAGATGCTGTGAAATAAAAGTGTGTCATTTTTCTCTCTCAGCCTGGCTAAACAATGAATTAGCACAATTAATTACTATCCTCTGGAGACCTAGTTATACAGCCTCAACTTATAAAAGGGAAACATTCAACATTTTGGAACAATGCCTGCTTCAATTGTGCTGTTACAATATCTCACTATCCAAATGCATTAAATCTCCTTTTGAGAATCTGCCAGAGTTAGATTTATAAAATAAATCAATAAACAAACAAATAAACCCACCATCTGTCCAAAAAACTAAGATTGGGGCCAAAAATGGTTGTAAAAACAACTGTAGTCACATGATGACCATTCTGCATAAAGACAAATTACCCTGTTGTGGTTATAAGTCAAGGACTATCTATAGCCCTGGATTTCCATAAGTTCTTCCCATCCAAGTATTAACCAGAGCTGCCGCTGAATAGCCACAAGGAGAAGCCAAATCAGCAAGCAATTGCCACTTACTAGAGGCCCTCATTTGGACTCTTCCAGCAGTGTCTGCAAGGAGTGGTCAAAAAAGTCAAGATGGCAGCAGCTGCTGCTGTTATCCATCCAGTTGTATTCAACTCTTGGCGATTCTGTGGGCCAGGCCTCTCCACATCTCCCAATTTTGCTTTAGTTCTTTGAGTTTTTCTATGCTCTGGTTGGTGTCAGCTTTGATGATGTCCAGCCATAGTGTTCTTTGGCGGCCTGGTTTCCCTTTACCGCTAAGTCTTCCAAACATGATTGCTTTCTCCAGTGAATTCCCCCATTTGACATGGCCAAAGTAAGTGAGATGCAATTTCATGATGTTGCCTTCTAGTGACATGTCTGGTGTTACGCACTTCAGTACTTACTTGTTAGTCCTCTTTGCTATCCAAGAAATATAAAGGAGCCTTTTTCAGCACCACTGCTCAAACAAGTCATTTTTTTGCTTTGTTAAGGTCCAACTTCCACAATCATGGGTGGCTACAGGGAACACAATAGAGAGGACTAACATTTGATTGCCAGGCTGATGTCCTTGTTTTTCCATATTTGGCTCATGTTCATCATTACTGTGTGACCCAGTACAACTCAACATTTTACTTTGGTGCTGCATTCACCACTTTTAGCTAAGTGTCATCCCAGGAAAATGATTTTTTTCCCCATGCATTCGAATCTCTTCATTGTCAATTTCTATTTTGATATTTCCATTCCTTGCAGTGGTCATGAGCTTGGTAGATATCAGCTATAATGGTGCAATTGAAGTTTTGCTCCTTTTGTATCTGCTGCTAGCTTGACTTTTTCCATATTCTGTAGATACCCCAGGACTGCTTGTTGATTATTTAATTATTTCAGCATTTAAATAGGTACAAAATGGAAGTCGCAAGGCATGTGCTAATTTCATATGAGGAAATGGAAAAAATAACAGAAATAACCACGTGAAATAAAGTTTTCTCTTCCAGAGTTGCAGAAGGGAGCTGGCTCAGTGGATGGGAGAGGCATTTCATGTATGGCAAGAATGTTTTTTTCCTATGATTTTGAAAAAAAAGTTGTTTTAAGACACTTTAATTAGATCTTAGTGAGCTGAATAATTACATAGCAGATTCATATGAACCATTTTCAGTACATAGTAGTCGGTGAGATTTGAAGATTGCTAGAATAGCATTATTTAGATTTGAGGGCAGAGGGAATCCTTTGAAATTCTAATATTCTCACACTATGGAAGATCCTGGAAAATAGCCCACTCAGCCCCAAAACATTGCAAGTGAAGACTACTTTTGGCAGATAAATTTGTTCACACTTAGGAAATCCTGCCAGATCAGAAGTGACTAGAGAGATCTCCTCACAGCATAAACAAATGTAGAACTTCTCATCATCGGTTGGACTAAACTGGTATAATTAATGTTTTTCTTCTCTTGTTGTTGAGTTATAATTCTCAGCATCTTTCCATTGAATTAATGAATAAATACATGAATTATGTAATTTATAACATTTGATGGGCTATGCAATGTTTACTACTATTCTTCACATGTAATAATCAAAATGTTCCCTTTCCGATGCTAACAACATATTTTTGTAATGTTGAAAAACTCTTATACTATCCTGAAAATCAAATTATGATTTATTCTTGTGACATATACACAAGCACCGATATCAGGAAGCATATTACCCCATATGTGAAAACTTCATTAAAAGTGCTTTCAAAGGAGCTGCATTAGAGCTTGTTGTAATAATGCATATATTTATTTTATTTGAAAAGACTTACCTAGCTATCATATTATAACAACAGTGGTACAAACTTGTAAAACAATAACAAAATAAAAATCATAAAATAAAATTCTATTTAAAAATGATAGTGCCCTACACACAATCTTGCTGGGTATATAGGATAGGAGAGAAATAGCGGGGGGAGAGAGGCTTTTACTAAAACTGACTTTTTGTTTAAATATGTACAAATGTTGAAATATGTATTTTTGTTTCCTTTATGTACACTGAGAGCATATGCACCAAAGACAAATTCTTTGTGTGTTCAATCACACTTGGCCAATAAAGAATTCTATTCTATTCTATTCCCATTCCCATTCCCATTCCCATTCCCATTCCCTATTCTATTCTATTCTATTCTATTCTATTCTATTCCCATTCCCATTCCCATTCCCATTCCCATTCCCATTCCCATTCCCATTCCCTATTCTATTCTATTCTATTCCCATTCCCATTCCCATTCCCATTCCCAATTCTATTCTATTCTATTCTATATGTACAAATATATTGAAACATAGTAATCTCCTAAAATTGTAATATTCTGGGACTGAGCATATCACAGTTTGATATTTTTAGATTTCCATATTCTTTTGAATCATATTTAATAGAGAGAATTTGGCAGACAATAGAAATTGATTCCTTGTGCCATTCTTTTTGTTAAGAGACTTGTTCTTCAACAATGGAAATATACATTTATGTCCCCAATGTTACATGTGACATGATCAACTTCTTTATATAATGAAATATTTGCCATTGTTTACAAAAAATGTTACATAAAATTTTGTATATGTTTATATCCTTATGAGAAGTATTTGCCCATGTGAG